TTGATTGATTAAAGAAAATAATAATGTGCAAATAAATCGTAACAAATACTTTAATTTTCCAGCCACTCCCTCCGAAAAACAAACAAACAAAAAAACAATAACAAAGAATGATTTCATGGTGACTTTAAAGCGGCGTGTGCAGCTGGCTGAACGAATCACATCAACACACACAAAAAAACACAGCAACTCACTGCGACACATCATCAAGTTTAACATTTGATGACATAACCAGTTATCAAAATATGACTTACAAGATGCAAACTGTGGTCTGCGTACTGTAATCCGGTCTCTGTATGCCCTAGATACCTGCACGCGAGGAGTAAATAGAGGAATCTAATTGTTTCAGAGGAAAGTGAATGCTAAACATCGCTCATGGCGCATGTCCCGTTCCTGTCAAGGATTGTTTTGATCTACATTAGCATCAGAGGCACCTCGCCAGAGGAAAATGTTATTGCTCTGTGATGCTTTTCCACAGAAGGCATATTGGAGTTTCACTGAGGTTTCTTAGTTTCAGATATTTGTCTTTAAATTTCTTAAAAAAGTACAAGAGAGTCAAACGTGTAATTTTTAGGCCTATACATTCAATTTGATTTGCACAGCTTAAAATTTGGTCTCGGAAGATTTTGATAGGATACTTGGGAGGTTGGGATACTTCTTTCTAAACTCCAGAGGACACAGATGTGAGATTCTTGAGGTCTTTTTTATGATAAAAAAGTGTGGACTATATACATACAGTTCAAAGATTTGTAATAATTCAAATGTTTTGGTTTTTGTTTTTAAATTTGAGGTTTTATTTTTTGGGGAAATTAAAAAGCGACAAAGCAAATGCTGTTCTTTTGAATTTGTTATTAATATTTTATATTAAATAATCCTGGAAAAAATCTAGGCATATCATGTTTTCCACAAAAATATTAAGACGCACATCTGCTTTTAACATTGATGGTAATAATAAGAAATGTTTCAATAAGCAAATCAGCTCATTGGAATGATTTCTGACTGGAGTAAATAACTGCTGAAAATATATTGGCATTGGCAACCAAACTCGCAATTTGACAATATTGTTCTTACCCAAAATATAACAGTATTTCACATTAGTTTAGTAAAGAAAAAAAAAAAAAAAAAGAGAGAGAGAGAGAGCATATATCCAGTAGGCCTACTTATTTCCAAGATAAAAGGGATTTTTTTTTTATCAGGCTAGTACCTATAAATAAAAACTTCACAGCATTTATTCCTATGTAGATATCCCAGAGGTCTCTAAAAACATGCCAGAAAGCCCCCATCTCATGGTTTGATGTGGAGTTCTTTGTCTGATATGTGCTTCATCTTATAGGATCTGTCTCCCCCTAGTGGCGCGAAAGTGGTTCTTAAATTTCTCAATCACACGAGGAAAGAATATAAATAATTAATATTTCATTAAAAGCGTGCTTCAATTTCATGATTCATCAGGGTAAAAATTAAGTTTCTCAAAATAACACTAGTTATTATTCTGTGTGTGCTGTCCAACACTTAAAGCGGTAATCCGAACCCTCATTTCAAGCATTATCTATAGGCTACTGACAGTCCAGTATAATGTAATTGCATATTTGTATGGATTTTGTAGGCACTAAAATCGAGCTCCCAAACACTATCCGTAATGCTGAGCTTCCCGTCGCTGTTTACAGAGTCCAGCAAATGCCCATTAGTGGCTGCATGACTGCAGGGGTCGAAGCCCCTTAAACTTGTTTAATCACTCTCTGAGACCAGTCAAAACAAAAGTGGGATGCAGATCCCAGATCAGCCGTGGTCTTAAAACTATTACTTAGTGACAAGTCTGACTGATCCTGAGACAGTTTAAAAGTCTCAACATCAGCAATGGCAATCAAAGCATTTCGCTCTGATCTCTGTCTTACATCTCGTGTTACATATAAAATGTGTATGTGAGCCTCTGTTTTGGCCTGGTTTTTAACACAGCCCTCTGGGGTTATAAGGGGCCCGGCAGCAGTATAGCAGAAAGCCAGAAAAATACATTACGCAAGTATGCAAGCCCAAATGCAAATGTTTCTTTGACCTACGCATTGTACGCACAGGGATCTGTTAAACATAGGCTACTTAAAGGGTTAGTTCACCCAAAAATGAAAATGATTCTATAATTTACTCACCCTGAAGCTATAGGAAGACTTTTTTATTTCAGCCAGAAACAATCTGGTTAGATATTCACAATCTATGTCCGCTTTATAACGGGAGTGAATGGTATCTTGTTTTTTGAAGCCCAAAAAGCGCATCCATCCATCATAAAAGTAATCCATATCGTTCCAGACCAGGGGTTTACTAGAGGCCTTCTGAAGCCGATGCATTTTTGTAAGAAAGATATCCATTTATATAACTTTTTCAAACTATAATCACTAGCTTCCGAATTCCGATAACGCCCGCCTGCACGTTCTTAAGAGAGTCAATTCGGAGCCTATAGGAGAATGGTTACTGGGATTTTGTTGCATAAGACCAACATATGTTCCTGGATCAACATATTTTGTTGATTCTGGATCAACATTACTGTACCAAAATGTAGTCCTTACCCAATCCCTACCCCGAACCTAAGCCCTACCCATAACTTTTCCCTAAAATCAGAGGCTAATGATAGGTGAATAACACTGATGTTTAAGTACTTCACACTGGTTCTAAGACTAGACTTCACATAAACTGTAAACCTGTCCCTCAAATCTGATCCGTCTTTATTTTATTTTATTATTATTATTTTTTTTTTTTTACAAATGAAGAGTTCAGATGCAAAAGCCATAAATGCCATTTGGAATTTTCTTCTAAAATGACCATTTTTATCAAGCTTGTATATTTAAGTTCAGTAATTTCACTTAAATGACAATTAATAGGTAATTATCATTGCCATTTAAGTGAAATTAATGAACTTAAATATACAAGCTTGATAAAAATGATCATTTTAGAAGAAAATTTAATAAATGCCCGAAAAATTGCAATAAGCTTTGTGACAAAGTCGCAGCTTTCCTAGGTTAATATGACTTTATTATTTTAGCCAGACACAATCAGAGTCATAGGATGGAGTATAAATAGCATACAGCTAGTGCGTGTACATAGGGGCTATGTCTGAAACAATTTAATTCAGTGCACTTCAACTGCATAAGGCACATTCTTTTTATTGTGTAGTAGTGACATCTAGCGGTCAATGTGAGAACAACTAGTAAGGCCACAACAGTTGACGTATGATCGATCCATCGCACGCCTATGATCGCACGTAGTAGTAGGCTACACTGTAACCCCTATATATATATATATATATATATATATAATATATATTTTTTAAGAATATGTGTTGGCCAATCAAACAGTTGATGGACCCCATTGACTTCCACAGTATGGAAAAAAAATTATATAAAAATAATATACAATGGAAGTCAATGGTTACAGACATCAAAATATCTTCTTTTGGTGGTTCAACGGAACACATTCTCGTAACGTTTGGGTGAGTAAATGATGACGTACATTTCATTTTGGTTAGTGATGGGATTTATGGCTCTTTGAGGGGATCCGGATCTTGGCGATCCGTTCCTTTCAAAGAGCCGTTCAAAAGAATGGCTCTTTTGGCTCTTTTTAAATATTTAGTATAATCACTGGGAGGAATGATGAGGTGAGATTTGTAGTCAAATAATTCAAACTCAGATATCACGCATCAATATCTGAGTTTGAATTATTCTGAAATATTGATTATTACCTCATTTGTCACGTGTGGGCTATATTTCAAAGGGTTGCACAACATCCCTCTGCTTAGAATGTGACATCACTATTTTGTATTTACCTTTAGTACAAAGTGAGTGTATGTGTAAAGCTGTTGACTTATGTTTTTCATACAATACCACAAGAACATTTTGATAAAAAACAAAAAATATTTAAAGTTGGAAATATATACTGTAGATACAATAACATTAACATGAACACAAAATGCAATGTAAATAAATACAAGCAGTTCCTTACTTTATGGCTTTTTTAAAAAAAAAACTGGAGTAACCATGTGATGGCGGCGTGCACAAGTTTTGGCTCCGCTCCTACCCAATGACATAGGCACGTAGGGTTATAAAAGATAACGTAAAATATGCACGCGCGTGCACAACTATCACCCCTGCGCTGGGCGCCCCTTCCCCTGTAACTGAGGAGGTAATTGATGTGCATCTGTGTAAAACACGCATAGGAAAAAAGAACGACAGAAAGAACGGCTCCCCTCCTGCCGCGACTCGGCTCCCATCGTTCATGTTTATGAGCCGTTCAAAAGAATCGGTTCGTTCGCGAACGTCACAACTCTAATTTTGGTAGCTTTGACATCACGGACAAGCATACATATACTTTTTTTTACTAGCCAGTGGAATGTTTGCCGGAGAAGTTACTAGAAAAACATTCTTGGCCAGCTGTCGGGAATTGGCGCCTGAGAGCCGCTTCCCTGCAATGATGCACATCTCGACAATCTGAATGTCCTTAATATTAACATCACCTTCTAAATATAGTGCGTCTATATAGTCTCTTTACTGTATGTAATTGTGCACTCCATATTCATATGCGATTAGTTAGGTTAGGAGATATATAACAAACCCTACTATGGCTAAGGAATGGCTCATTAATAATAATAACGTCGAGTTAAAGTTGCTTGGTAACCGTCACGTGAAGCTAATATTCATTAGACAGCCTTCGGCGGAAAGAACCGTCTTGTTTTCTGAGTAGAAAATCTATTAATTTATTGGAATTAAGTTGTTATTAAATAGTGGAGAGCAATTTCCATTTAAGGATTTCATTTCAAAAAGGAAAAACAATTTATCCTTAAAGTTTTTGTGTTTAACCGAACAGCTAATTCCTGCCCACTTACTAACGTTCGCTTTTAAGCCAATCGTTACCTCTTCCGGACCAACGTCACGTTACTCACTTAATATTCATAAGAACAGCCTTCACCATAGTAGGACTGCTCGTCGGGATTCGTTGTGAGAGAGAGCGATGATGTCATTATGTGAAAACTTAACCCACTCCCCCTAGTGAGAGGCGCTGATTTGCCTTTCACATAATTTTCTGCAGAAGTTTTGTGAAGTGACCGACACCGCGCGACCTCAAGTTACGAAAATCTGTCACACATCCTCCGAGGACTAACTTTTCCGCATCTGGAACGTGGATATTGGACGTTCAATAAGGGGACAGGCTTATAAATCGAGCCCATCATCCTGGACGGGCTGAAAAGTTAGAAGCGAGCAAAATGAACCGGAGCTTTAATAAATCGCAATCTTTGCGTAGCTTGAACATGAACGCCGTGGAAGTGAAAAGCAAGGTGAGTTGTTTGAAATGCACACTGGAAAGCAATATTTTGCGAGAATAGTTTCGTTGCATAGTTACACGATGTTGTATATTTTTAGAAGGTAAAAATAGGGATGGCTAACTTTGGTTAGCCCATGTCAAATCATATTATAGCATATGAAATCTTTGCATAGTGCTCATTTACTTACGTCAATTGAAAATAACGTTTCCATCTGCTTTTGAGAATTGATTTTGTTTCATCAGCGTTTTTCTCCTTAACGTTACCTTTTAGTCAGCTCCTGTAAAACGAGTTGCAACACAACCGTTTTGGCGCTTGAACTGTCACATTCATGTATAGTGTTTATGGTTTCCGTGACTTTAGATCTCCAAAATAATATAAAACCTTCAAATTTATCAAGCACAATCCTGTTCCAGTATTTCTGTAGTCTGGCTGCAGCATGTGGCTTTCAGATGGGAGCTTCTGCTCTTCAGATGGGAGCATTCTTGCTGCTCTCTGAAGTTTTGTGTTTGCAAATCTTCACATCAGGTCTGGTTAAATACTCTCCTCATTTCCAGCTGTCCGAAAATAGTATTCTAACAACACAAGGACATATTTACTCCTTTGACAAGAGCAAACACGAGAGCTGATTCATTGGGATGGGCTCTTTTATTTGTCAGTTGGACAAAGTGAAACTTTTTAGTTTCTTCCACTGTTAACATTGATACTTTAATAATATAATGAGGGAAATTGGATTAAAGGGACCGTTTTCTCAAAAAATGTACTCACCTTCATGTTGTTCCAAACCTTTATTTGGTTGAACATAAAACACGATATTTTGACGAATGTTAGTAACCAGCATTCATTGACTTCGATAGTAGGAAATGATGAAACTCAATGTTCATAAACTCAAACTGTTTAGTTGCAACATTCTTCAAAATATCTTCTTTTATGTTCAATATAAAGACTATTTTTGGGTGAACTATCCATTTAAGATGTCTGTCTTTCTGTGTTTTTCCGTCTATCATTCTAGTTCCCTTGGAGAATAGCATGATTTTCATTTATATCACGATGATAGATTTATCATAACTCAAAGTGGAGCCATGAAGGCCTTTCATATACAGTAACTGTTCAATTTGCCTGGGGAAATATCTGACAAAGCTTCAACCAAGCCTTCACAGAAATAATTCTATATCTGTCACCGCTCGTATAATGGTGGTGTGGACTACATGTTGGTATCTATCTAGGCGCTGTCATTGAGACCCATTGGAACTAGATGATTCATTACATGTCTCTGCTTTCCCATTTGAGATGTCTGTCACTTTATTCACTATATATTAAAAAATGAATGAGAGTGGCTGCAAACTCAGTTGTCTGTTGAACTAGACTTTGGCTAGACAAACTTTTATAATGTGGTTATGGATGTGATGGTCCTAATTGTTGGAATGTGTGGGCGACGTGCCCAGATCCAGACTCCGTTACCATTGTCTGATTATTATTCGCCTCTATTATTCAGTCGTGCTCGTCTAATTCATAACGGCCTGAATCCCTGCTACTGTGGTCAATGAAAGGAGCCACTGTTTGGGCTCTGTAAAGACAAGAGGGCCCCGTTACATTTCTCTTTTCTTCGAAAATGGATACCTATACATGTTGGAATGGTGTCTGTGGATCAACCCGCTTTCCCACTGAACCAATACTCGCCCCCTAAACAAAAGTATCAATGGATGGATTTGTGAAACTTAAACCTGCGAGGCAAGAATATTTATGGAATTGTTATCTAAGATGCCATGATGTTTGGAACACTGTTTATCAATCATATCAACATCACAAAGGATGTGTTACTCCACTATGATGCAATGCTGTGATGTCACTAATCTCTCGGTATCACACGTAGTGTTTTTATGATGTCACCACCCAGTTCCGGTACATCACAATCAAGGAAGGGTTGTTTGGCTTGGTGATAAGAGTGCATGAGGGGGTTTCTGAAATGAACCATGAGCCAATGTTCTTTTGTGAGGAGCTGTTTTTTTTTCCTCCTCCCACCACCACTTTATATCTAACGTGTCCAGGGCTTTATACATCTTCCAGAAACACTCCTCCAACTGCTCTTTCAATTCTGTTTTCCACTGACCAAGCTGGATCTCAATTAGAAATGTACTCTTTGGAATGCTATACTGACATTTGATAAGATTGGGTTTTGGTGGGTACTGTTGAGTGTCACACAAGTATTTAACACAAAGAGCTGTGTATCTGGCTGTAGTGCCGTGTTTTGACTTGCCTGAACCTGTCAGGGTTTGAGGTCTGATAAAGTGTTTTCGCTGTTCTCCTATTACTCAGGATTTCGATGTTGGAAATTGTGTACTTTATGCTCTGTATAAGCCCGTATACTCAATTATCTGAGGTCATGTTATTGTTTTTAAGATTGAGTTTGCACATGGATAACAACAAAATTAAGATGGATTCAGATTTACGCTGTGTCCTAACCAGATGCGATAAGATTCCAGTTGCAAAAATCGAATTAGTATTTTAATGGTTTTTCATGATACCAGAATGTAGTGTTTGGTATTAATAACATTTCATCTTGATTCCACAGCAAAAACAAATATGTTATGAAATGATGGCCTGGATTAGACCTTATTTCAATTAGGACATTTAAATAGTTAGCTTTTATAAATGTGCTTTACAAAAGAAAACCTTTACTGGTATGTATCTTGAGACAAAACAATGGCACTGATATATTTTAAGAAATGTCAATGCAAGTTGCTTTCAGCATTACATTAATTTTAGTCTGGGACTACTAGACTTAAACTAGGGATAATTTTTTTTAACCTTATTTTATTTACCTTACATTATGCACGTGTTTCATGTTATTATTCAAGGAAATGGTAAGAAACAAAGAAATAATGTTGTCCTTGGCCTACAACCCTGTCATATAACTCCCAATAACAGTAATAAATGGCCAAGCCATTAGTCTTGGCAAAATAAAACATCATTGTCCGAAATGTTTCTGGCTCCCAGTGGGGTTATCTATGTTTAAATAACACAACCTGATAATTTTACCCTGACTTTTGTAATTTAGCCTTGTTGAATACGCTGCTCAAATTGTTACAGTTTGCTGAAGAAACCATGACTAACATTATCCATTGACTCTCAGAGAAAGAACAACAACAAAAGTATGTCACCATTTAATGTCAATTTAAAACAATTTGTTCTCCACATTAGAAACAGAAAGACTGCATCAATGTACTTTATTTATTTAGTCAGTGACGCAGCTCTGATGTCTTTGCTGATAAATGGGTTAAATTCTCACACTTAGGCAGTGGGATGGATGTTTTTCGTAATTCATACGTGTCTGCAATTGGGCTCACATTGTCACATGCAGTCAACTTCCTGTCACACCTGCCACCCCAGAGACCCTCTGAGTGTATTTCTGCTGCTTCACATTTATATTTCATGTGCTAATGACAGACTGCCAGCGGTTAATGTAGGACTCTGGTTCTTGGGGCATAATTACAGTCCATGAGGGAATGCTGGGATTCTGCAGACTCAACCGCTGCTGTGAAAGACAAAGTGAGGCCAGTGTTTTTCAGGCTGGATGGGACGACCCACGCATTGAATCAAGACTCGCATCTGCGTGACAGTCACGTGATTCGAGACATAGGCCTAAACTCAGCTTGACCCCTTTGGTGAAGGGGACAGACAATTTTCTCTTCTTCCGAATATAAGCGAAGTTATACTTTCTGGCCATAGTCTGATGTTCAGAGCGTGTAACCAAAGGTTTGTTGTTCCCATATGTGACCAGATGTATGTATTTGTGTATATATAAGTGTGTGCTCTAAGCCTAAGGTCTGTATATGAAAGATGTGAACATTTCTTTTCGTACATTTTTAAATTTTGTCATTGTAAATCTTATTATTCATGTATGTTTTTTTTTAATGTATATTAGCTTAACATCAGCCTGCCCAGGGACTTCGGGTGGCTCAAATTAGCTCTTAAACCCGGTACAATGCATCTTCCCCTTTGAGTTTAATGTTTATTGTACACTGTCCCTGTTTCTCCAAATAAATAAATTAAATTAAGTTTGTATAGGGTTGAATCCCACACACAATATATGCTTGAATAAATTTGATCTTGGTCATGGCACTTTAAACCAGGTGACTTTAAATGCTGCTATTATGTGATGGTGTTGTTTAAAAGTGTCTGTGGAGATCAAGAGATTAGACCACATCCCAATCAGTGCTATTTTAGTATTATTGATATACGATTGTAGTTTATAATAATATTTTAGATTTTTAGTTGTTATTTAAAATTTTTCTAGAATATTTATGTTTTTGTTTTATGTTGTTTTTATTTGTTTAAAAATATTTGAACATTTTTAGTTTTCAAAATTTTAATACTTAATTTCATTTCATTTAAGATTTGTTTCTATTTCATCTTTATTGTTTTTGTAATAGTTTTATATTAATACTAACCGTGATCTTAATTTGCTTAAAGGGGTCATGAACTGGCTTTTTAAATTTGTTAAATTGTTGTCTTGAGGTCAACTTATAACGTTCGCGTGGTTTTTGCGTTCAAAAACATCAAACTGAATAAGTAATAGGCTATTTTCTACCTTAGTTTTGAGCCCAGATCAGAAACGCTCGGTTTTTATGGGCGTCTCGCACTGAAGACTTGGAAGTAAACGTCCACTGCTGTGAGTGGATAACAGTTTTGCTTATTATAATGAGTTTCGACTCACCCGTCGGTGTATGTGGGGGAAATTGTTTTGAAAACGTCCAATGTTGTAAAATGGCAACCGGAATGATTCGCTCATACATGTCCGTGTGTTGCACAATTCCTGTCAGATCCAATATAGACGGCACAGCATCGTTCTTTACTCTCAATCGGTCTGCAAATCCAGTCTTGTTTACAAAACAATCCTCAGTGAAATGAAGCGAACAGATGGACGATGTTTTACCTCATGAGCTGGAACGTCTTTAAAATGAAAGTTTATCCATGCAGTCTTATTGGAATCCAGAGGAAGCATATACCTCGATTCGGCTTGTCATGAGGTAGGCATCTATGTTTTTTAGCTATGCGTGTAATGCGTGAATCGGTGGGCGGGGCTAAACCAGCCGCGTTGAAGTAGGCGTTGATCTTCTTCTGCAGGGGTGGGGTTTTATCCTCTTTGACGTCATAGTTCCCCACTTTGAAAAACGAGTCGTTTGCTGAGGCTGGTGTCAATAAAAGCTTTTATTGGACTAACAAAGACGTTTTCAGTTCTGAAACATACAGGATATTCTTATAATATGATGACCTCTTAGATGTCAGAAGCTCAAGGAAAATTTGATTTCTCAGTGCATCACCCCTTTAATATCTAGTACATGAATTGTTTGTTAATGGCATAGACCTTATTCAGAGCAGCGCCATGACAGGTATGAAAGTGAGGCTTACCGTGTTTCCAATGGCAACCGCTGTAAAAAGCTGAATAAAGCGGCTAGATTACTTACAATTTTCCACAGCTTACATTGTCGGGAGTTTTTTGTCAACTGACATTTCTTAGAAAGATATTTTTCCAGTGTTTAATGAGCAGAACAATCCGAAAACACATTAAATTTATCCCTCACAGCCTCGCTTTCATTCTCATTAAAAATCAAAGATGGCGCTGCCGTGAATAAGGCGTATAGCAAAACACTTAAAAAGCTGCAGTGCAGAGGAAAAGTAATGACGTGTCCTGTTCTGAGAAGATTGGTTGGGTTTGTTCACCTGTGCAGGGGTGACATCCGCTAGTGTGTGTTGTGGAAGTTAGCTCTGCTTACTCATCATCCCTCATTGTGCTTCACTCTATTGTGTCTCTGCCCCTGTTTGACTCCATTTCCTCATTACAAACAGCAGAGCTGTCTGAGAGATAAAGAGTGTTTTGGCCAGGGCTTTAACAATGTCAGTGTTTCGAGATTTCTGACATGTCTGAAGGTTAAATGGATTAATTTGAATGCCATTAAGTAACAGAAATAAGTGTCATCTTCCGTTTTAGGTAGGTGGAGTCGAAACAGACATAAGATGACATGTTAGGTCTACCTTTAGTTTGAAACTGGATAAAATGAGGTTGTATTGGTGTGATTTAACCTTGGTGGTGCTGAAGAATGTGAAAAAATTGTAAACCTTTGTTTTAAATCTTTGTTTGGCTGGAAGGTGGGCTGCTTTCATTGAAACACACACACACACATACAGACAGTTACTCACACACAGAGATCACACAGCCCACTTACAGAAAGATTCAGGACTCGGGGAGCATTAGTTTTCAAGATTGCCCTGTGACTTATATTAATAAAATAGCTTTACTGCCTTATATGTCTTTAAGATGCATCTCAGCAACAAGGTGGAATCATCTATTTTTTTTAAGTAATTAAACTCACAGCTTCACTAGTAGAGAGGTGCAATTTACACACACGCACAATCTGTCTCTCACTCTTAATTCATTCAAATACATAAAATATTACTGCAATGCTTTGTCTCTGTGTCTGATTTAAAGTTGGGAAGAAGGCTAAATCGAATGACCTTTAACTTGTCAATTCTGGCAAATGACCAATACCAATGATAGTCCATAGAGTACCCAAATACCAAGGGGGATATTGCAGAGGAGATTGCATAAAATTTCGGTATGAGATCATATGAATTGGCAACCAATTCGCCAAAGAATAAACTATGAGAGTGCTTTCGGTCGATAGACTTTTTTCAAATGTTTTTATGCAGGCACACTTTAGAGACGCATGTTATACAATAATTATAAGTTATTCAAAGATTTTTGAATGATAAAAATGCATATTTGCTGAATGCTGAGTGAGAAAGTATTATAGCCTTTATTTCTCCTTTCTATAACTAATACAAATGCAAATGCTTTAATACTTTTATAGTTTACTTTCTTATTTAATGTTCACTTTTGATAGACCGTACACTGATGAAGAACAATACTGTCAAAATAAAAGTCCTACTGCTGTCAAAAGAAATGTCTGCCTCTAACATGTATCGGGGTTATCAATAAGTATGTAACTCATTGATTATTAGAAAATGCCAAACATTGGCCAGTAATCCATATCCCCTAATCACAAACGACTGGAAAGATCCGTCAAAAGCCTCGTAAATATCAATGCAGTGATGTTTTGTGACGGCATGCTGACGTGCACGTTTCTTTTGCAGTATGGAGCAGAGTTCCGCAGGTTTTCAGTGGATCGAGTAAAACCCGGCAAATTTGAGGAATTCTACAAACTCATCATGACAATCCACCGGATTGCAAACATGGAGGTGATGATCGGATACGCCGATGTTCACGGAGACCTCCTCCCCATCAATAACGATGAGAACTTCTGCAAGGCCGTGTCCACCGCACACCCCCTGCTGCGACTCTTTATCCAGAGACAAGGTATGAGCTCACTCACTTCCCACCCACATCCATTTATTCAAGGTGGATTTTCCTGCTTCGTTTGTAGCATTGTCTGGTGACTCGTCTTGCTTGAAGATCTAGTTGACTTAGGACGCCTTGGTTTCAAGTTCTTCTAAAACCCAATTGGGTCAGTTAGGGGTTAAAAATCCTGCAGAATGTAGAGTATGAATTAAGTAAATACTTTCAGAGTGATTCAGCCCACAATTTCTGTGGTCCTGTGGTCAAGCGAAAATACTGGGTAAATAGGGTCATCGTATGCTGTGTTTTGAAGCATACAGAGACACGTTCCCAAACGTGGCCCCATGTGCCGTTATTATGTTGTCACCAGCACATATGTGTGTGTGATAGAACCGCTGTGGTCTGGAGATAACTTTCTACAGGAAAGGCTGCTGGTTTTAATGGCGGGGAAGAGAGTGACAGTTCTTTCCTGTGGAGAGACTCCGACTCTTCCTGTAAATCCCAGCGCACCCTTAAAGACAAATCAGCATCCTGTAGCTGAACTGTTTCAATGTGTGTTAGATACTTTGTTTCCAAAATAGTGACTGCTTTCCAAAATGGTTGGTACTAATGATAAGGCCAATATATTTGGACATTTTTTGAGATTATTGGTATTGGATACATGTAGCTTGGTTAAATAAAATTAGTAGCCTATTAGTTTGCTTAGTTCGTTTCTTTGTTTAAAGACAGCATTATTTGCCATTTGCAACCCCATAATTTGACACATTTCCAAATGTGAAATCAGATGTTCAACAAGAAAAAATATAGGACATGACTTTTATCAACTGGGCATTGATTGATTGATTGGTGAAAAGTGGGTGGTTCATTTTAAAATAGTGTTTTGTTACAACAATTTAGCTATTTGCTAACATTAGTTGTGTGATGTCTTTCACTGAAAAAGTTGTAGCTGGACTTGTTATTAGTCGCTATCACAAAATGTAGATATTAATTTTCAGGGATATATTTACTTTTCAAAAAGTTTGGAGTCAGTAAGTTTATTTAATTTATTTATTGGAGTTGAATACTTCTATTTAGCAAGGGTGTATTAAAGGGTTAGTTCACCAAAAAATGAAAATTAAGTCGTTAATTATTCACTCCATGCTGTACCAACCCCGTAAGACCTTCGTTCGTTTTCAGAACACAAATGAAGATATTTTTGATTCAATTTGAGAGGTGGATCACTAAAGAAAATGTTTAAATATTCCATGTGACTACAGTGGCTCAAGTATAAGTTTATCAAGCGACGAGAATACTTTTTGTTTGTTTTTTCGCACCAAAAGTATTCTCTTCGCTTGTTAAACTTATACTTGTGTTTGTGTGTGTGTTTTTTTTTTTTTTTTTTTTCTGGGTGAACTGGGCTTTGCTGTTCATTTGAGGGTTCAGATCGCTCTGTTCTCAAAGAAACTCCAGCCTATAGAAATCAGGTCACAGTCTACTGGTATGGCGGGCATTTCACACAGACAAAAGAGCCACGTGAAAAGAGAAAAAGAGGCACCTCAGCGGGCTGGGCTGTGCTCATCTTTCCACATCCACAGATAGTGCTTTAAAGGTATGAACGCTGCTCTGAAATTATTTGCATACTTCCCATCTCAACAGTTGCACAACCGTAGTCCAGTAATGCCTTCAAGGAAGCCACATTGCATACCCACACTCCAAAAACGAGCTGTTTTTAGTCTTTGACATCTTTTGCTAAAGCAAAGCAGGCATTCTGGTTCCTCATCCTTAGTGTGTTGATTTATTTATAGCGATCAGATTTACAATTTTCACCTGGCAGCAAAAACAAAAAACAACAAAAGTTGAAAAATGTCAGACTTGCATTGAAGTTTCTATGTTGTATTGTAGTAGAATTCAGTTTTTGACACCGTATACAAAGTTGGATCTCTGCATTAACGGTGGTTGAAATCATTGGAGGATTTAAATTTAGCTTTTCTAGTTTTGATAAAAAAAAACTGTTCAGTTTTACTCCTCTTGACGGCTTGGCTTCCAGTCGTGGATTACGTAAGTCGTGTTTTCTTGCGCCAGCACAAGCTTTTAAGTGGTCAGCAGGATTTGTACTATTATGCTAATTAGTTTCTTTGCTCGTAGCTGTGAGTGCCATTCAGCGCTCGTAGTGACCATTGTGAATGCTGAACAATGAGGTGCTTTCTCACGATTTGGCTCTCTTTTAACCTGAGCATGAGTAAGCCCGTAACAGGCAACGCTTGCTGGGCGGTACCGAAGAGTCCAAGCATTCCCGTCAATCATGAGTTCCTGACATAGACATGACTTTGTGTGAGACAGTGTGAATGAGAGATCATTCCAAAAGCAGAGATACCCCTCTTCAGGAGCCAGAAAAGCCACATTGGTCAGGACCACAAATGGATAGGACTGCAGTTTATACATGTAAGCGCATTCCATAAAAAAAAATGTAGTCTGGTTTATTTTTGACACATTCCACAGCAGTGCTTGTGCCCCAAAATATAATGGAAATCTGACCTCCACATCCACTTTCCGAATGTTGACGGCATCATTTGTTAAAATGTTCCAAACCAACACTATCTCACGACCAATTCGTACGAATTCGACGCATGATTAAAAAGTGGCTAATTCGTACGACCTCACTCGTACTAATTTGTACGATTTGTCTAAACCCACGTGATGGTTAGGTTTAGGGGCGGGGTAAGGGGTAGGTCATTCGTACGAATTCATACCAATTCGTAAAATATGTACGATTTAGCAAAATCGTATTAATTAGTACGAGTGAGGTCGTATGAATTGTTACGAATTAGCCACTTTTTAATCATTCGTTGAATTCGTACGACTTGGTCGTGAGATCGGGTTGTCCAAACCTATAAGACTTGGGTCAATCTTTGACACACAAGTGAAGATATTGTTAAAGACTTGGGTTAAACCACTCAATTCTCGATTCGAGGAAGGGTTGATGCAAATGTATGGGTTAGTGATGTCTAAAACCCGGCTGTAGTCCCATTTTTTTTGTAGGCATTAAAAAAAAAAGTCTGCTTACATTGAACTTTCAGCGCTGCAACTTTGCAGATACTGTTCATGCACCAACAGCAACATTACACACTATTTATAATGAAAAAAGTGAAATCGCAGTCAACCACCCCTTTAAGATACTACTGACAGAATATGTTTCTTTAACTAAGTTTTGTAATATTAACAACAGGTTTTAGTCTCACAAACCTTCAGAACAACAATACTGTTAGTTTTAAAGGGATACTCCACTTTTTTTTGGAAATAATTTTACAACTCCCCCAGAGTTAAACAATTGAAACCTTTTTCGAATCCATTCAGTCGATTTTCTGATATTTAGAAGAATATCAGTAACCAGACAGTTTCTTGTCTCATTGACTTCCTAATATACTATGGAAGTCAATGAGACCAGAAACTGTCTGTTTACTAATATTCTTCTCAAAAAATCGTCTGAATGCATTTGAAAACGGTAAAACTCAACTGTTTAACTCTGGGGGAGTTGTAAAATGAGCCTATTTCTAAAAAAAGTGGAGCATCCCTTTAAGTTGTATAATCAGCTAACTGTTTAATTTCACTAAAAAGGGTAATTTAGAGTAAGAATGTGTGAAATAATAATAATAAATTCTGGTCAATGCGATGTTAAAAAGCAACTAGTGACCGATACCGATATTTGTCACTTGCTCACTTATTTGAACTTTTGTCATTAAAATAGATTTCTGTTTTAATTTTTCAGTTATCAAATTCAAAACCACATGCATTAAGGTATATTAGCTAGTTTGAACAGTTTAGTACTGAAACTGGGTTAAATCCATTTAACATTAAAGGGATACTCCACTTTTTTTGGAAATAGACTCATTTTACCACTCCCCCAGAGATAAACAGTCGGGTTTTACCGTTTTCGAATGTATTCAGCTGATTTATATATATATATATATATATATATATATTTACAAGAATATCAGTAACCAGACAGTTTCTGGTCTCATTGACTTCCATAGTATATTTTTTTCCTACTATGGAAGTCAATGAGACCAGAAACTGTCTGGTTACTGATTCTCTTCTAAATATCAGAAAATCGACTGAATGGATTCAAAAACGGTAAAACTCAACTGTTTAACTCTGGGGGAGTTGTAAAATGAACCTATTTCCAAAAAAAGTGGAGTATCCCTTTAAACAGGCCGATTTGGAATCAAACTTCACTGGTTGTGCAAGGCATGCTGCAGTGTAAAACATTTAAAAATTAAACCGTTCTTAACTATTTTCTCTCATATCGCAAAATAAAGGTTGATGAGCCGCTTGAAGTGCCTACAAGGTTCTACTACAGCAACATGGACAAAACAGTTTCTTCAAATGCCCCCTGGTGCCAACAAAGCTTTAAAAACACACAACTTTATATTTCTCTTTCTTTTTCCGCTTACTTTAACTCCCTCAGAGAGGTCACCAGTGGAGACTTCCTTTATTTAAATGCTCTATAAAGATCTCAGTCTGGGTTAATTTCCTTTTCTTGAGTTCAGCCAGACATGGACTTGATCTCATGTAGCAGACACTGACTCAGGGCTTTCTAATGCCCAGAACTAGATCTCACCCCTGCAGAGACAAACACGTCCACACATTGTGGGAAAGACCCACCTGTTTGGCAAGATGCACAGAAACGCCCCCTAGATTTCTGGGTAATGACTAATCTAGGGTCAGACAGAGGAAATAAATGTAACTAATTCTTGCACATTATTTACAATCTTGCACAGGAACAATGCAAAACGACTTATTTAACAACATTTTTCAGTAATGTGACAGTAGTTTGGCAAAATGACTTAAGATTTACCCCGTCACATTATATTGGGTACACATCCGTCCAATTAATCAAGCTGAAAATGTGCTGATCAAAGGATCATGTGACACTGAAGATGCTTGTAGTGGCTTCTGAAAAGGCTGTAACATCAAAAATCTTACTGACTCTGTACAATTAATGAGTGTAAATATAAGTTAATTGTTTCTTAGTAACTTATACT